AGATTCAGAAAAGGATCTTTAAAAGATAAACCAAAAGATTATATTTTAATCCTAGAGGTAATAGAGAGCCATTGGAGTTCATAAAATAAGGGAGTGACATGATCAGATCTTTATTTAAGGAAAATTACATTGGCATTTGTCAGGAGGATAGACTGAAATGGGAAGACTTTTTAGCCAGAGACACCAATTAGGAGGTAATGAATCCTAGGAAGAATGGTGGTGCCATCTTTAGAAATAAGGATATTTGGATGAAAGGTGGGTGTGAGGAGAGAAACTGGGGCTGAATCTCTGAGTCATTGGCAGAAAGAAAATAATTAAACCCATGTGAGCTGATGAAGTCACTCAGAGAGATAAAGAGAAGAGGACCCAGGGAAGAGCATTAGAGAATACCTTTAGTTAGTGAATGTGATATGGTTGATAAACCAGCAAAGGAAACTAAGGAGGAATAGCCAGTCAGGCAAGAAGTATTTATTAAACACTATGTACCAGAAACTCTTCTGAGCACTGGGGATACAAAAGCAAAAATAATCCCTGACCCCAAGGAGCTTATGTTCTCATGAGGCAGACAAACATGAAAATGTCTAGTTACATTCACAAGATATATACAAAGTAGATAAGAAGTCATCTCAGAGAGAAAAGCACTAAAAGTTGGGAAATTGGAGACAGGAGGAAGCTTTTCCAGTAGAAAGTAGTGTTTGAGAGAGAAATATCATCAAAATCCAGAGAGGAGAGAATATTCAGGAAGAAAGGTGGGTCAATAGTGTCAAATGCACCAGATAGGTTGAGAAGGATGATGAATAAGAAAAACTATCAGATTTGGCAATTAAGAGATCACCCATAATTTTGGAGAGAGTGATGGAACTAGAAGCCATATTGCAAAGGATTGAGAAATGAGTGAAAGGTGAGAAAGTAGAAACAAGGAGTATAGACAGCTTTTTTTAGGACTTTAGCTGAAAAGGGAAGATACTTATAGGCAATAGTTTGAGAGAATAGTATAGCCTAATGAAGTGGTTTTTTTTTTTTAATTATGAGAGAGATTTGGGTACTTTTGAAAGAAATAGAGGAAGAGAGAGTAGATAGAGACAGTTTGAAGATTAGAAAAAGAGATATGAGGTGTTTGAGGAGTCGATCTACTAGAGAAGACAGGTGGCAAATAGGATCTAGGGCACAACTAGATTGGTTAGCCTGGGCAAAGATAAGGGCCACCTAATTATCAGAGACTGGAGAAGAGGTGGAGAATATTGAAGGAAATAATATTAAGAGATGGGGAGAAGAGGGAGTTCACCACAAATGGCCTAATTTTGTCAAAGTAAGAATTGTAATACTAATTGACTAAATTTACTTTCAAGTTGGACAAATTAAGTGGTAAGGGAATGTTTAGCAGAGATTATAGTTCTGGACCTTTTATGGAAGAGAAAGAGGGTCGAAGGTAGCAGTAAAAATATTAACAGTAAAAACAAGGGAACTAGTGCAGTATAGTGGAGTGTGCATTGGTCTCAGAATACATAGTTCAAATCCATGCTTTGGCATTTAACTGGCAGTAAAAGCAAGTCACTTTCTCAGACTTCAGTTTCCTCATCTGTAAATTATGGGAATTGGACTAGATCACCTCTAAGGTCCCTTACAACTCTAATATTTTAGGATACATGAATTAAAATGATCTTTAATCAGGAGGAATAAAACTATCTTAAATTATGAGCTCCTTGAGGGCAGGGATTGTCTTTTGCCTCTTTTTGTATTCCCAGCACTTAACACAATGTCTAGCACCTAGTAGGGGTTAAATAAATGTTTATTAACTGACTGACTGATCCAAAATAACTTCTGTCGTTGGAGTAAACTTGGAAAGTAAATTTAACTTATCCTCAGGTGTTTCAGTCTTTAGATACTAATTGGATCTGTGTTCTAGGGATCAGGTTGTTGTTCAGTCGTTTCAGTCATATCTGACTCTTTGTGACCCCATTTGGGGTTTTCTTGGCAAAGATACTGGACTAGTTTGACATTTCCTTCTCCAGCTCATTTTTCCAGATGAGAAAACTGAGGCAAAAAGGGTTAAGTTACTCGTCCAGAGTCACACAGGTAGTAGTATCTCAGACCAGGTTTGAACTCAAAAAGATGAGTCTTCTTGACTTCAGGCCTAGCCCTTTATCCACTGCATAACCTAGCTACTAGGGGAGTTCTTGAGCTATGTTGTCACAGGCTCAGGACTACCTAAGCAAATCCATATTCTGATACTGATGTGGCAGGTAGGTGATAAAGTGCTGGGCCTGGAGTCAGGAAGACTTGAGTTCAAATTCGACCTCAGACACTAGCAATGTGATCCTGGGCAAGTCACTTAACTTCTGTTTGCCTCAGTTCCTTCATCTGTAAAAATGAGGGGGGGCAATAATAGCACCCACCTACCAAAGCTGTTGTGAGGATCAAGTGAGGAAATATTTGTAAAGTGCTTAGCACAGTGCCTGGTACATAATAGGCTTGATATAAATGTTAACTACTACTACTTACGATGATAATGATGACTACTTTTGGGGAATTTGGAGAGCATTGTTATATCTACCTGAACTAGACAGGCAGGTACAAATCCCATCTTTCCATATCACATTACCTCCAGGCAATTAGTAAGCACTCTACAAACATTAAATCACATTTATGATCACCTGATACATAGCAGGGCCACAGGGCAGCTTCTTTCCCAGGAAGCTACAGTCTAAATCTGGCTGAAAGTAAGGCATTACTAGTTTTTCCATTGTGCATGTCATAATTTTGTTCTTATTGCATCTATGTCACATGAAAAAATCTCATTTAGGGATTCCAGATGTTAACCAATAAGAGCTACTCTTTAATGTAAGCCATAGACAAAACAGCTAACCATTTTGTATTTGTCTTCTCACTACAGGTTCCTGATACTACATGGCAGGAGGGGTGGGTAAGCTTAAGAATTGTGAAGACAACAAAACTATTCGAGATCCTTCTTCATACTTTAGGACCCACACTCAGTAACAGTAGGTGTTTCTTAAGCTTTGTCTTCCTTGTTTTTATCCTCTCTCTTATTATTGCTGTTGAACCATCTGACAAGTTGGCACAAATCAGGAAATGTCCCATGAGAACAACTGATGCTACAGAATTCTAGGCTGCAGTCCTAAGTGATATATCCCTAACTTTGGTTCTGGAACAGTAGTGATCTCCCCAAGTTTCTACATTTGTCTAATGCTAGGAATCTACTTCTTCCTGGTAATTGATCAAGCTGATGCATATGTTACTGCAGCCAAGGACAGAAGGGAGTGTGAGATGATGAGTTTGAACTTCTAGACATTTAGATATAATGAAAGGGTACCAAGTCTCCTTCTGAGAGCATTTTAAGAAAATAGCAAACAAGGTTGTTTTTTTTTGAGATGGTTTAAATTTAGTCTTATTCAGGTAAAGGAATGAATCAGATTCCCACCAAGATAATGTATAGTCCATGAAATCTATCATGGTATTATTTTTGTGGTAGAAGAAATACAGGAAGCATGAATCCCAGATCAATGACTACTAGGAGGCAGTGGTGGGAATCTTGAGTTACTTTAATTTATTATTTGATGACCTGGGGTTGACTAGTATGTGACTCAATTTCCCAGCCTTGTGGAAGCTGAGATAGGGCAGCTTTTTAAACATTTCTTATCTTCTATATTTAATCATTATCCAAAATATTCTAAATACTATTCAGAAAACATAGTCTTTCTTTACTAGAACTGGGGTTCCCCCCCCCTTATGAGATATGTACATCATCCACATATCACTCTACTTAATGGAACCTTTTGTCTACTTTCGTTGTCAGTTGATTGGTTGGGGATTGTAATGGGGGAAAGAGATTTTTGCTCTACACTGTAAATTTCATCACACCAAATGTTTCTGTAGAGTTAATGATGTTGACAACTCAACCAAGGACCCACTTTTTTTTGACCCACTTTTTTCAAGCCATATCTATTCAACACTAAAGATTCCCAGTACTGTATAGGAAAAAGAAGTAAGATGGTCCTTTGAAATTTACTTTGTTGTAACAAGATATAATCAATTGAAAGCAAAACATAAAGACCTGGTTATTTTAGAGAAATGCTAGAAAGGAGAAGAAGAAAAGAGGAGGAGGGAGAAAAGGAAGTAGGAAGAGAGCAGTTAGGTCACTTGACTCTGTCTTACTTTAGGAAGAGATAGTTGAGTGCAGCGAGGTGGATAGAGCTCTGGGCCTGGAGTCAAAAAGACTTCTCTTCCTGAGTTCAGATCTGGCCTCAGACACTTGCTATCTATGTGACTCTGGGCAAGTCAACTTAACCCTGTTTGCCTTAGTTTCCTCATCTGTCAAATGAGCTGAAGAAGGAAATGGCAAACCATTCCAGTTTCTTTGCCAAAGGAAAACCACAAATAGGATCATAGAGAGTCAGACATGACTGAAACAACTGAATTACATGTAGAGGAAAAAACCAGAATGAAGGAAAGGAGACATTAATTTTGGACCTAGGTAATTTGAAAGCCTGGCATAGTAGGAAAGGAGCTAAGCACAGACCAGTGAGAGCTACAGTATTGAGATATAGATATATAGATACAGATTTAAGTATCCTAAACAGTCAAAGCCACTGATCACCTGAGCAGCATAAATGATTGTTAGCTGGCCACATTGCCTAAGGCTGTCAGTGCTGTATTCTTAATAAGAAAGTATTGATGACTAAAGCAAATGGGAGTAGAAACAAAGAAGTATAGGGACCAGAGACTACAGGCTAATTTGTATGATATCCCACCTGATATTTGTTCATGGTATCACTTATAAGGATGAAATTTACCACTGGATAATGATACCTCTTATGAGGACCCTGAACAAAGCATTTGAAAAAGCTCCACTGGGAGTTTTCCTCAAATTTTTCCTGCCTCCAGTTCTCAGGAATCATTTATTTTTCTTCTCCTTTCTTGTTCTCGTTCCAGTCTTAGAATCTACCTTATTCATAACTTCATTTCTTTTTTCTTCCCGCCAGATGTCTGATAAGGTGGACTGGTTACAAAGCCAAAGCGGAGTATGCAAAGTAGATCTTTATACTCCCGGAGAGGGCCAACACCAACACTGGAAAATGGTAAGTAAGGGGCAGCCTCCTTTGGAACACTGAGTTAAGAATTTATGGGAGGCCCTTAAAGGGTACTCTTACCAGTGCTACTCTGGGAAATGTTTAACAACCAGCTCTCCCAGGAATGCAGGACACATTTATTTAATCTGGAATGCTAACCTTTTCTCCATCACTTTCTTAAGTTTAGACAATCAACAAAACAATAAATCAAGCCCTGATCTGTAGCCTGCATATTTCCAAGGTGTAAATGCTCACACAGAAAATTTAAGGGTTGGGTTCTACCTAGACCATTGAGCACGCCTCTGATTCCTACCCTCCCACCCTCCAGTTTTTTTGCAAATGTGGGTCCCCAAGAAAAGACTGAATCACCAGAGAGTATGGAATTCAGTGGATTAAATAGGATCCCCTTCTCTGAGATATGTTTCTTCGTCAGATCTGGAGAGAAAGAGCATGTGCAGGCATACTCTTCATAAAATTATCCTGGCAATGTTATGTAATAATAGATTTATAACCAAGTTTTACCATAAAGGCAGGCTCAGTTCCTCTCGTCCTACTCTCCACCCCTTTTACAGATAACTGCTTAGATAAACTGAACTTCATCTTTGTTAAACCTGGTGCTCAGTAAAGTCTTTGTTCTTCACTTGGGTTATAAAATATCACAGAAAAATGTGATCATACAAATAATTCATGCATAGAAGTCATATAATAATGACTAGCATTTATAAAAAAATACTTTGACTTGCAAAGCTTTGTACATGTGGGATCTCATTTGATCCTCACAACAGTCCTGGGAGGTAGGTGCTATATTATTATCTCCATTTTACAGATGAGGAAATTGAGACTGAAAGAGGTTAAATGATTTGCCCAGGGTCTGACAGCCAGTAAGTGTATAGGGTGGAATTTTAATTCAGAGCCTCCTGACTCCAGGTCACTAGTGCTCTTACCCACTGACTGATCCATTTAGCTACAACAGAACCTTATAAAGTAATAATTTTTTAAAGTTTACAAAGCCTTCTTCTCCCAAGAATACTGTAAGGGTAGGTAGTACAAATATTCTTATCCCCATTTTGAAGATGAAGAAACTAAGGTACAGAGAGTTTATGTACCTTGGCCAAGGTCGCACACCTAATAAGTGTTAGAGCCAGACCAAGTCTATTGTGCTCTTTCCAAGGCCATTCCAGTCATCCTAATCTATATATTGCCCCTAGACCCAGATGACTCCAGAGAAGAAATAGGGGTGGTTACTTTGCACAGACCTCCCTCACTTAAATCCAATTCATTTGCAAGTCATAGCATCACCTTCCTGGTGTCATGACCTCTTATAGAACAAAGAACAAACAACAATATTGCACTCTTTTCACAGTACCTCCACCATCATTCACAAAGAGGCAAAGACCTTAATTACCCTAGTCATCTGCTCTGGGGACATGAGAAAAGGAAACAAGACCTGTTAAAGTTTGTTTTTTTTTTTTAAAGCTAAGGTTTCATTCTAATCAGTGGCCCTTTCCTTTCCATATGCTGCACTAGGGCCCAGCACTTTTCCATTGCCCAGACACTCTAGGAGATGGATTTTGCCAGCAGATATTACTTATTCTGTTCCTGAGAAATAATATCCATGTTCTTTCAAGAGTTATCATCTTTAGCTAGGTCTTAAAGCAGAGGTTATTAACCTGGGAAGTATAAACTTGTTTTATTACTATTTTGATCATTATATTTCAAGATAATTTGTTTCCTAAATCCTGTGAATTTTGTTTCATGCATTTAAAATCATTATTCTAAGAAAGGGTCTTAGGGTCTTATACAACAAGGCTTACAAAGTCTTAAAAGTCTGGCTTCTCCAGACTGCCAAAGGGATTCATCTTACACACACACACACTTAGAACTCGTCTTAATAAGCTTCCTAGAGAGAAACAAGTTTCCCCATCCCTCTTCCAGGATGTCACTTGATTCTGTTTCTTTTTCTCCAGCTAACACTCATCTCCCTTTTTCCCATACTGCTATTGCATACTTCAGTGGTCTCTCTAATGAGTGAATATCAAGTTTTCATACCTTAGGTCTGTTAGGGTAACCTAATAACCCTGACTTATTATAAGCTCAGATGTCTGTAAAAGGCTGATTTGTGATTTTGAGCTTTTATGTCCAAATTTTGTCTACCCAGGAAAAAATACTATTTAATATACATTGTTATTGAGACTATCCTTCCCCGTGTTGTTTCACTTACAGTACTGTTTTCATGGAACCACTCAAAAACATTAAGTGGGGCATACCTGCATTTTGTTGTCTTCAAAGGGAACTGCATCTAAGAGTGAAGGATATGGTAGAGAAAGGAGATTCTATAGCTGAGAATCCTGTCTGATTTTACTCTTAGACATGGGATGAAACTGGGTGTCCTTCACATTGAGAATGTGAATGTAGAATCAAGTATGTAGAAGGTAGAAGCTATCTTCTTCAGGACATCTAAAAATTTCACAGAACTGTCGGATTTTTAATCAACATTATCTTCACCATTAGAATCAGGGCAGCTAGGTGATGCAGTGCCTCAGACATTTACTAGCTGTGTGACCTTGGACAAGTCATTTAACCTGTTTGCCTCAGTTTCTTCATCTGTAAAATGGGGATAATAACAGCATATACCCGCAACGGTTGTTGTGAGGACCAAATGATATAATAATTGTAAAGCACTTAGAGCAGTGCCTGGCACACAGTAAGCACTATATAAGTGTTAGCTATTATTATTATTATTATTACCAAAATTTTTAAAAACTCTTAATTGCATGTTGTGCTGTGCTGGGCTAATTAATCGGACGTGATCCATGGCCCCTATATGTTGTCAGATCATCCCGTTAGTCTATCTTTTATGGCCATTTAAGACAAACAACACTAATAGATCCATAAATAACTTGCAAACAAAAATGTAATGAATAGGAAAATATTTCTATTATAGGGCTTAATCTATGTAAATCCTAGATTCCAGTTTGAGCTGCTTACACTACTGGTTTTCTGGCATTCTTTTTCAACTTTTCCTTTTCTAGAAAGGAAAGGTAGTTTCAGTTCTAGGTTCCGTGTCAAGTCAATAAAAATATATTTGTATGTCTACTACTTAAGGTACCATGAGGGTAGTAGCACCCTATGGTAAAAAGAATGCTGGATTTGGAGCCAAGGGATTTGTGTCCAAATCCCAGCTCTGCCATTTATTATCTATGTGACCTTGGACAAGTCTCATAATGCTCAGGCTTCAGTTCCTCACCTATAAAATCAGGGAATTGGACTAGATGACTTTGAAGGAAGGTCCCTTCCAGCTCTAACTAGGAAGCCTATGAATGCACAGAAGTACAAGCCATGGTCTCTGCATTTGGGCTTTAAGTGATACCAAGAATTTTTAAATGTATATATGCTTGCATGTGTTTACTCCAGTATGCATGTGTGTGCCACAGTTAATGTCTATTAACATAATATAATAGTACAAAGAAGAATGGATTTAAAAACAGGATAAATCAGGTCCTGGTTTTTACATTTTCTAACCTTGTGATCTTAGGCAAGTAATTTAACCTCCTGGGGACTTTTGTTTCCTCATCTGTAAAATAAGGATAGCAATACTTTTGATGTACCTTCCTCACAATCAAATGAGATAATGTCTTATGACAGCATTTTGAAACAAAAAGGTATTATGATAAAAATGTCCAATGCTGAGCATAGTACTTAAATATTTGTAGATTGCGCCTATGTTAACTCTTCAGTTCCAAACTAAATGTTTTATTTAACTGATGATAGCTATCTTCATTAGGGACTGTTAGAGTATCAAAATGATGCTTGTTGAACATCGCAAAGTAAATGAATGTATTTATGTTTAGTCTTTTTTTTCCCCTTCAAGATAATTTTTTGAATGAGCTGAGTTACTAAATAAGAACAATTAAATAAAGAAAGATAAAAGCAGTTCACTAATTCATTTTGTTTATCTATTAGTTTACATGTAGAGTATTATTGGACTTAACTGGCTTATGTGCATTATGGATTATGATGAGGTGGTGAGGGTGGGGTGAGTTAGTGAAGACTTGGGGAGGGTGGTGAGTTTCTCTATCTATTAAGGCTATCCTTAATGTACTTTGGATGTGTTTCTATTCTAGTCTGATGAGTCCCTGTCTGCCTTTAAGGAGGCCTCGACTGATCCTGTCAGAGTCCTGAGCTGGCTCCGAAGAGACCTGGAAAAATGTACATCACGGTTCCATGATATGAAGCAACCACCTGCTGGGGATATGAACAACAGGGGCGAGCACCCAGGAGACAATCGCAGTGGATTCACTGTAGACTATTTCAGTTCTGGAGGCAGAATCCCCCCAGGCAAAATGCATCTTGAAATGTCTCACACTGAAAACTCTTCCAGGGGCTCCAGTGCCTGGAATGGTAGTAATGAGAGTTCGGTAGATGAAGTCTCCTTCTATGCCAATCGGCTCACCAACCTAGTCATTGCCATGGCACGTAAGGAGATCAATGAGAAAATCGATGGCTCTGATAATAAATGCATCCACCAGTCAGTCTATGTGGGTGAGGAACCCCCTTCACCCAAAAGAGCCTTGAGTAAGGTGGCATCAGAACTGGTGAATGAAACTGTCAACTTGTGTTCCAAAGAAAATTGCCCAGACAAGGCTCCTGGCTCTGGAGACAGAGCCACACCCTCCTCACGGAGTCCCCCAAATCTGAAATACAAGAACACAATTAAATTTAAAGAAACGAAAGGAAACAAGATAGATGACAAGCCTAAACAGTCATTCTTCTACAAAGAAGTGTTTGAATCCTGTAATACAGGTGATGGTGGGAGGAAGGTATATGGGGGGCCAAACAGAACAGATGACTTTACAGCCAGCTTGAGTCAAGGAATCATGACCTATGCCAACAGTGTGGTGTCTGACATGATGGTCTGCATCATGAAGACACTAAAGATCCAAGTGAAAGATACAACCATTGCAACCATCTTGCTCAAGAAGGTGCTGATAAAGCATGCTAAAGAGGTGGTCTCAGAACTGATCGACTCCTTTATGAAGAGCTTACATAGTGTCACAGGCACCCTCATGACAGATACAAACTTTGTCTCAGCCGTCAAGAGAAGCCTCTTCTCTCATGGAAGTCAGAAGGCCACGGACATCATGGATGCTATGTTGGGCAAGCTACACAGTATGATGTTGAAGAAACCTGAGCCAGCCAAAAGAACATTTAAGGACAAGTCTGAGAGTGTCTCCCTAGTTTCTTTGAAAGAAATGAATGACCCCAGACATAGAAATATGAACTATTCGTCAGTGAAAGCTGAAACCAAATTAAGGGAGAAAACCTATGTCCCACCCAACCCAGAGAAAGAAAAGACCTGTGCTGAAACTCTGGGTGAACATATTATCAAGGAAGGGCTGAGCTTGTGGCATAAAAATCATCAGAAGGAATCAAAATCCCCAGGCCTCCAGCGTGCAACCTTTGCAGTCTCCAACAAATCTGTTCGCAAACCATGCAGCAAGCCATCACCAGAGAGCCATCCCCAAACAGTCTCCCCAGGCCCACTTAACACCAATGCTCTCAGCTGCCAAGAGAAACCAGAAAACTTCCTCTATAGTTCCGACAGTTGGGCTAAAGACCTGATTGTGTCTGCCCTGCTCCTGATTCAGTATCATCTTGCACAGGGAGGAAGTATGGATGTCCAGAGCTTCCTGGAAGCTGCTGGGACAACAACCAAGGTGACCTCACCTAAGTTCCAACAGAACTCGGAGCAGTCCAGCCTTGGGTCCTCTCGGGTGGGAGGCAGTCATGAAGAGGCTGAAAAGAAGGATCTGATGAGCGTCTTTTTTAATTTCATCCGGAATTTACTTGGTGAGACTATTTTCAAGTGTGATGATAACTGCGAAACAAAACCACCCAGCCACCACAGTAAGGAGGAAGACAGCAGCTACTTTGAATCACCCCTGCCAAACTGTCCTCAAAAACATGGTGGTGGTGGTGGTGGTGGTGGTGGTGGTGGTGGCAGCGGCAGCTGCGGTGGTAGCGGTGCCATGGCTGGGCTGGCCAAGATGGTGGCTAACCAGATGGACAGTAACATGAATGGGCAGATGGTAGAACAGTTAATGGACTCAGTGATGAAATTGTGTCTTATCATTGCCAAGTCCTGTGACACTCCCTTGGGAGAGCTGGGAGATGAAAAATCTGGAGATGCCAGCGGGCCGACTTCAGCCTTCCCAGATAGCTTCTTTGAGTGCTTACCAGTCAAGGGCACTGGGACAGCTGACGCTCTCTTACAGAATGCCTATCAAGTGATCCATAATGAATTAAGAGGCATGTCAATACACTCCTCTGAGGAGTCCAGCAGGCCCAAAGTGATTGTCAGCGATCACAACATCGCTGACACCGTGCAGAACAAGCAACTCCGGGCCGTTCTCCAATGGGTAGCAGCGTCTGAACTCAATGTACCTATTCTGTACTTTGCTGGTGATGATGAGGGGATCCATGAGAAGGTAAGGGAGAGGAAATATAGAGAAATTAGAGGAACTGGAATGAAAGGGTTTCAGAATCAGTCTTCTTCTTTCTGAGGCTCAAGCCACAGAAAGGGAAGGACTAATGAAAATAAGGGTTTCAGGTTAACACTTCTCTATCTTGGACAGAATGCCCTGGAAAGGAGAAAAATGAGAGTTTTTATCCAGTGTTCATTATTTCTGAGTAGCAATGATAACAGTTCACATTTATATAAATGTTTTAAATTTCTACAAAATGTTTTTTTTAACAATTCTGTGACATAGGTATGATAATTATTATTATCCTCATTTTACAAATGAGAAAAATGAGGCCCAGAGTGGACCCTGTCTAAAGTCAACACAGTTAGCAAGTGGGAGAGCCTGGACTCAAACCTTAGGTCTTTGGGGTCTCATTTTCAGTATATGTGGTACTACATGAGACTTCCTTAAAAGAGTAAGGGAAATGAGAAGTGATTCAGTCCTATATCCCTATTTTTTTTCTTTGAATGATAGAAGCAAAGAAGGGAGAAAACAATGGGTTAAGTCAGTTTCAGGCATTTCTTTATTAATTGAAGGGAATATATGTAATAAAAATATGAAGGCTTCTATTAGGTTTGATGAGGAGTCAGATCTAATCTAGTAGACCAGGGCTGAGATAGAAATAAGCCAGTTCTGCTGAAAGAGGGTAAATTATTTATTATTTGGTGAAAGGAAATGAGAAGGCCCTGCTCCCCATTTTTTTAAAGTATGCAGAAATGAGGGGATCTACCATTTGAGCTTCTCGTTACTCTGATTACTTTATGTGCAAAGAAATATTAGAAACTCTTTTAATCTATACTGGTATCTAGGAATAAGAACCAGTTTAGGTCAAAAAGAACTTGGACTTTCCAGGGCTGAACAAGAGGTAAAGTACAATCCAGGGACAATAAACTAGAGAACTAGGTTCCATCCTCATTTCACCCTTCATGATGCTGTGCAAGTATCTTCTTCATTCAGGGTCTCACTTTTCTAAATCTGAAAAATGTAGAACAAGCTAGCTTAGTCACATGTCATGTAGTCCAGCCACAGGAGACCTTCCTTAAGCTACCAGGTATCTACAATTCTGCTACAGAGGAGCGAAGGACAGGGCAGCACTCACCAATTCCAATTGTCAAAACTATAGCTATATAGTTCAGGACATATGGTCATGAACCAGTCTTTTCAGTTACAACATACACAAATATGTCCTCCTAAAAAGGAGAAGAGTTGTCCCTCGAGCTCAAAGAGAACCAAAAATGGCATCACTATGTTGGGGTCAAGATACCATGTGTCATACTGTAGCTGATCAGACAAACAAGCTTGGAATGCTCTACCACAGGTCAGGCACAAATACATTTAGAGCAGACATGTCTCTAAATTTGCGCGTTTCATGTTTCTTTTGAGCTACAAAACTAATTTGCTGTGGTGGAAAGACAGTGGAGTCTGAAGTTGTTGTTGTTCAGTCATTTTTCAGTTGTGTTCAACTCTTCAAGATCCTATTTGGGGTTTTCTTGGCAAAGATACTGGACTGGTTTGCCATTTCCTTCTCCAGCTCATTTTACAGATGAGGAAACTGAGGCAAACAGGATGAAGTGACTTGCCCAGGATCACACAACTAGTCAGTGTCTGAGTCATCCTGATTCCAAGCCCAGAACTCAATCCACTGCACCACCTAGCTAACTTAAGGAGATCAAATACTCCTTGACTCCCCTGGCAACTAGGTGTATATGTGTACGTATATTCTAGTCCATAGATATGTCTGGCAAACATACTTCCTTCCTCCTCCATTTTATACATATTCCTCAGGCTATAATATCATTCTTTTGTGACATCTCCTCCCTCATTTCTCTTTCAAAGCTGTCACAGAATCATAGAATTGTAGAACTGGGAAGATTTTAGGAGAACCACCTAGTCCAACCTCTTTATTTAATTAATCAGGAAAAAATCATGGCCCAGAGGAGGAATCAATTTGTTTATCTAACTAGTGAGTCATAAAATCAGGATTAGAATTTAGGTCCATTGACTTCAAGACTATTAATCTGTCTTTACACATTATACCATACAACTTTATTCAATTTTAATCATATTTGCTCTATTAAAACATTATAATGACAGTGATTCATGGATGAAGGGAATATATGTAATAAAAAAATGAAGGCTTCTTTTAGGTTTGATGAGGAGTCAGATCTAATCTAGTATACCAGGGCTGAGATAGAAATAAGCCAGTTCTGCTGAAAGTGGATAAATTATTTATTATTTGATGAAAAGGAATTTTTTTCAAAGTATATAGAAATGAGGGGATCTACCACTTGAGCTTATGGATTGCTCTGGCTACTAAAACAATAAACAGACCTCAGGTATACCTAAGGTAGGGGCCTACCATCATTAACTGGTTCCATGAAAACAGCTTTTTAAGTGAAACTACTTTCATTGCAGGGGCCAGCTAGTTCATAACAAAAAAAAAAGTTTATAAATGGAAGGATTTTTTTCCTGGACAGCCAAAATTTATGTTGCAAAAACTTAAAATTGATCTTTTTTGAGAATAATAGGACTGGATTCGGCAGGGGTACATGAATATGGCTTGGATGGAAACTGGACTGGAATCACTAAGGTTTGGGATAGAAGTTGGGGGGTGCGGTGGTGGAACTAGGCTGGAGGACAAGAAGCAAGGAATCCAGGTGCTTCCTGGGAGAGGCTGGAAAAATAGACTTATTCTTTCTTCCTAAAAACAAAAATAATATCTAACATTTATAAAGGAATTTAAGAGCAGTTATTTATGGATGTTATCTCCTAATTTCTAGCTTATGGTCCACAGATAACAATTCTCAGATGAGTTTGGACATTATTTCTCAAAACTACCCATAAAGCTTATTGTCCACAGCTGATGAAGGCATAATCCATCTCCTCAAAGGAAGAAAGGAATGGCAATGTACTGAACCCTAAAGGTTGAGAAAGGGAGAGAGGAGAGTTGATTAGAGTTGTAGCCTCTGGGATCAGGACCCCCTTTCTCCTAGTAACTGGAAAAATAAACAGGACAAGTAATGGAATGATCACTTTGAACTTGTATGAATTGGACTAAGAGTTTATAAAACTTCACATTTTTGTTATGTTCTTTTTTCTTTTGTGTTCTGGAAACAGCTAAGTGCAACAATTCACTTCCTGCTTGTTTGGAAATTTGGCTGCTACAGATCAGGGTTGGGCTCTTAATAAGTAACTGTATAAAGTTTAACATCTCTCTGTGATAAATAGCAACCCAAAGGAAGAGCAAAGTCTTAAAAGGGACACTTGGCCTAAGCTGAGCTGGGCTTGTCATTAGAAGTTCAAGTATATCTTGAAGGACTTTCTAATAGGCACAAATTTTAGGGTGGCCCTCCCTTATAATGTACATTGCAGCATCAGGGGTTGAGGAAACTTCACATTGGTTATGCCTCTAATGGACTCTTTCTTTGGTAAAGCAGAAGGTGTGTTAGCATCTATCAGGCTCAGGTCCTTACTACAAACATCTATTCTCTCTGAAAGAAAGGGAGGTGTAATGGGAAGAGCTTAAGCTTGGCTTCAAAAGACTTGGGTTTGTCCCACTTGACTCACTTAGCTGTGTGATTGCCATACTCAAGTCCATTCATCTCACTGACTGACCCTTAGCTTACTCATCTTTAAAATGGAGATAACAATTACTCATCCTCTGCATCTTACAGGGTATTGTGAGGAAGGAAAGCACTCTCGACACTCACTGTAAAGCAACCTACAGTGTAAGCTGTTGTTAGGTTGTAGATGTTCAAGGTGTAAGTGATTGGGCTTATTCTGAACTGAACCTCTGACATACCCCAGGCACACCCTCAGTATGGATGATGGAGCACCTGGAAATAAGAGAGACCCATCCCTAACCTTTTACTAGTCCCCCCACTAATTGGGAGATCTTTTAAAAAATAAATTAATCAATCCAGTCTCAGACACTTGACACTTACTAGCGTGTGACCCTGGGCATGTTACTTAACCCTGATTGCCTCACCAAAAAAAAAGGGGGGGGGCAAATATTAGTTAATTAATTAATCCTACCAAATTGTCACTTATCTCAATCCTAAAAGCAGAGGGCAGAATGATTGGGTACAGGGAGGGTATTAATTTAGCCTCTGAGGTTTTGGGAGGGGAAGTTGGTTTGGGTGATCCTGCTAATCCAAATAAACATCACTATTATTGCTGCTGTCGCTGAAATTATAATCATTAATTCACTCTTTATTACAGGGTAGGGTTGGGGTGGGAGAGAGTTTTTTGTCCAATGGTTATGTCCCTGCCCTGCCTCCAAATAGCTCAGGCAGGTGAATAAATATAGCAATGGTAATGTTTTTGACTTCGAGTTCAGAACCCTAGAAACTTCTAAAGTTTCTGTAACCTAGACCACTGTTTCTCAGTACAAACTTTGCTACAAATTAGTAAAATGTCTTCTTTCTTGTGGACCGCTCTGCCCTCCAGTCTCAGCACTAGGCCTTTGTCCAGGAGCACAAGGTGAAAGGGAAAGAGGGAAAAAGAAAAAAAGTAGTCTCTGAGGACAAGGACCATTTCACTTTTTGTTACTGTAACTGCAGCACTGAGCATAGGGCCTGCCACATGAAAAATGCTTCTTGAATTTAATTGAATTAAAAGAAGGAACAAGGAAAAGAGTTAACAGGATATAGGAAGGACACAGAGGTGCCAGCTTTTTAAAGTTTGTCGAGGCTTTAAGCAGTAAGGACCTTTGGCAATTCAAGTTTTAAAGACTAGTGAAAATTGACCATAGATGGATGACTGGGAAAACTTGGAGAATAAGCAACACTACCTCCCAGGAAATAATTTCAATTCCTGCCCTGAAGAAAGATAAAATCCATTAGAGAACCATTTTCCTATTCCCAGACAAATGGTCAGTGTCAATCAACTCTTTAAAGACCTCCAGGAAAATACCTCTACCAACCTCTCTAACAGCCCTAGCAAATAGAGTTCTTGAGTTCTAGCCAGAATTCCTCCTGTTGCAAATTGCCCAAAAGCCCCTTTTTATTTTATTTCGTTTTTTTGCTCTTGGTTGTGAATCCCTAGTAGTCTCTTTCCAGCCCTATAGATTAATGACCATCTGATCTTGTGTTATTACTCTGACTTGTTTATCCCCAGCTCCTCCAGCTTTCTGCTGCTGCTGTGGACAAACGTCGAAGTGTCGGGGAGGTCCTACAATCGGTACTGCGCTATGAAAAAGAGAGGCAGCTGGATGAGGCAGTGGGGAATGTAACTCGGCTACAGCTACTGGATTGGCTGATGGCAAACCTGTGAGCAGTGCAGGCCCTCTGTGTCCCCTTTCCCAGCAGTGGGGCCGGAGGCTGGACATATCCCCCTAATCCCACTCCGTGTACCCTCCCCATCTTTACCTATTTCCCCTGCCTGCCTGCCTACCCACTGTCACAGAGCCCTGACAGTCTCCATACCACTCACGTGAAACACATGACATCTTATGCTGGTCACTGAATTTTGCAGATTTTCCTATCCAAACTCGCACGGACGTAAAATAAACACGTTACAATTAAAGGGCTCATAATGTTTGGTTTTATTGGGAAACTGCTGGGATGACAAAGGTAGACATCTCAGTTTTGAAAAACAATTCTGGCCAAAGTATTAAACATATTCAGGCTAGGAAGGAGCTAAAAGAATCAATCCATCTATCCTCCTGTCTTCAAACCAATATTACACAGGGTTCAGTCCAGATAGATTGCTATCCTGCCCTTTTCTTAGGTATCTCTCTCAAAGGAAATACCACAACCTCTCAGCAACACATTTAACCATCTTTATAACTCTTAATAATGAGGAATTTCTTCCTATTATGGTGTTAAGATCATTTCCTCCTATCCTGCCTGTTCTCCGTGAAGAGGAAATCTAACCACCAACTTTACATGTAGTTGAAGATAATGAGTTACTATACTCGGCTATATTTTTCCCCTATTTTATTTAAAGGCAGCCAATAATAGTGAATAGAGTACTAGGACATGTCAGGAAGACATTGGGTCCCCCACGGAGGTAAGAGTAGTTTATATACCGACATCTGCTGCAGAAGTTGAAGAGGTAGAGAATCGCTAGAAGATCATCAGATCTAGATAAGATCATCAATGCCAAGTCAACATTCCCATTCATACTCCATGACATCAGTACGAAGATGGACAAAAGGGAAGAAAGTGAGAAATGTGTTGGAAGATGAAGTTTGAGATTTAGAAACAAAAGAGATGAAAAGCCTATAGAACTCTTAATAGGTCCACACCTATGGATTTTGAATATTTCCTTTTAGAAGCCTTGACTCTTCAGGTTTTTGTGACACTGCTCTCTTCTGATTCTCTTCCTACCTGACCAGCCACTCTTTCTTAGTCTCTTTTGCTGGTTCAGGTCATGCCTACTAACTGTGGGTGTCCCCCATGGATCTATCCTTGAACCTCTTCTCTTCTCATCAAGTGTGATGAGTAAGCTAGGTGTGATAATGTAGTAAAGGTGAATTCTGAAACGATTCAATGACTGGATCTAAAGACACTGATCCATCAATGTGTCCCATGGGTTCAAATATTATCTCTACATAGATTATCCTCAAATCTATAGTCCAACTCCAGTCACTCTCCTGAGCCACAGTCTCAGAATATGCTGAATATGACATGTGCCAAACAACATGAAAAATAGAACTGCTTATATATTAGTAGAGTTACTACACTCAGCTATATTTTCCCCTCCTTTTATTGAAAAGCAGCCAATAATAGTGGATAGAGTACTAAGACTTGTCAGGAAGACATTGGGTTCAAATCTCACCTCTGATACTAGCTGGGTGACAATGGGCAATTCATTTAACTACTCTAAACTTCAGTTTCCTCATCTGTGATGTGGGAATAATACCTATAGCACATAACTCATTATGAGAGAATATGTGCAAAGTCCTTTGCAACTCTTAAAGCACTATATAAATATTATTTTTCTTAAAAGTTCTAAGGAGAGCACTGAGGAAAATGTGGCTTTTATTTTAACAGTGGAAAGTATGGATATGGAATGTTGTACATACTGTCAGATATAGGTAATATATTGGTTAGTGTGCTGAACTGTTCTTAATATTTGTCACAAGAAATTATTTGCTGGGTTGGTTTGGGGGGAATTTTTTATAATGAATGTCATGTAAAATAAAAAGTATCATATCAGTGGAATAAGTTAAGTATGCAAGACACAGTAGTCAATGACTATAGTAATCTATTATTTGATAAACTCAAAGACCCCAGCTTTTGGGATAAGAACTCACTCTTTGACAAAAACTGCTGGGAAAACTGGAAAAGAGTACGGCAGAAACTAGGCATAGACCAAAATCTCACACCATATACCAAAATAAAGTCAAGGAATAGTTTACCTGTCAGATTTATGGAGAACAGAAGAATTCATGACCAAACAGGAGATGGAGAACATTATGAAATGCAAAATGGATAACTTTGATTACATTAAATTGAAAAGTTTTTGCACAAACAAAGCCAATGCAACCAAAATTAGAAGGAAAGTAGAAAATTAGGAAAGAATTTTTACAACCAGTCTTTCTGATAATGGCCTCATTTCTAAAATATATAGAGAATTAAGTCAAATTTATAAGAATACAAATCATTCCCCAATTGATAAATGATCAAAGGATATGAACAGGCAGATCTCAGATGAAGAAATTAAAGCCATCTATAATCATATGAAAAAATGCTCTAAATCACTATTGGTTAGAGAAATGCAAATCAAAACAACTCTGAGGTACCACATCATACCTAGCAGATTGGTCAACATGACAAAACAGGAAAATGATAAATGCTGGAGAAGATGTGGGAAAATTGGAACACTAATGCATTGCTGGTGGAGTTGTGAATTGATTCAACCATTTTGGAGAGCAAGTTGGAACTATGTCCAAAGGGCTATAAAAATGTGCACACCCTTTGACCCAGCAATAGCACTTCTAGGGCTGTAACCCAAAGATTGCATACAAATGGGAAAAGGGCCCACATGTACAAAAATATTTATAGCAGTTCTTTTTGTGGTGGCAAAGAATTGGAAATTGAGAGACTGCCTATCAATTGGGGAATGGCTGAACAAGTTGTGGTATATGAATGTAATGGAATACTATTGTGCTATAAGAAATGACGAACAGGCAGACTTCGGAAAAACCTGGGAAGACTTGTATGGTCTGATGCTGAGTGAAGTGAGCAGAACCAGGAGACTGTTGTACACAGAATCAGCCATGTTGTACGATGACTAATATTGATAGAATTAACCCTTCTCAGCAATACAAGGATCTAGAAGGCCTCATGATGGAAAAGGCTATTCACATCCAAAGAAAGAACCATGGAGTTTGAACACAGATCAAAGAATACTATTTGCTATTTTTGTTTCTTCTGTTGTGTTTTGTTTCCTCTTTCTGGTGGTTCCTCCTATTGGTTCTAATTCTTTCTTACAACATCACTAATGTGAAAATATGCTTAATAGGAATGTAGATGTATAGCCTATATTAGACTGTGCACCGTCTTGGGGAGGGAGGTGGGGAGGGAGGGGGAGAAAAATTTTAAACTCAAAAGCTTGTGGAAGTGACTGTTGATAAATCAACATAAATTAATTTTTAAAAAATTTTAAAAAATAAAATAAAAAGTATCAATAAAAATGGAGTTAATTTTTTTTTTCAAAAAAGGCGTGGAGGATATGAACACAGGCATTATAATACAGTAAGGATAATACAGTAAGGATGAAAGACCAAAAGAATCTCAGTGATTGATCCCTAATGTTGAATATTATCAAACTGCATTTCTAGAACCAGATCTAAACACTTCAAAGTATTCCAAACACATAATGTTCTCTCTCCACTTTTAAGAAATAACTTTAGTTGTGCTAAAAATGATTGGGATAGAGTCTAGGAAAATAATCCTGACACAGGTTGAAAAATACCTAGGCACAAATCCTTCTCTGGTTGTGTGCGTGTGCATGTGTGTGTGTGTGTGTGTGTGTGTGTGTGTGTGTGTATTTATGGGGGAGGGGAATCACACCCCCAGCAAGAGGAATCATGCCAGCTGGCTGTGTGAATGGACATTTTTTTAATGAACCTATATAAATTAAAAACAACAATCTGAAATATCGTACAATATAAGAGTTGTCTCTAATATAAATCACTGGTGGAAAGGAACAGAATCCATCCCCAGTGAAGGTCATACAATGGGAGGTAAGAAAGACGCAGGGTTCTTGGGAGATATCTCTTTGTTATGTTCTCCCTTGGAGCCTATACATGCCTTTAATTCCTCATTGCCTCCTGTGGCTTCTGTTAAAGGTGGCAACCAGACACTGGTTACCCCTGCGACTTCCATTTTGCCTTCACCCAAAGGTTGGGTGGAGATCTGCTGGTCACCAGAATGTTGATTATTGTCAGCAGCTCCATCTTTGGTTGTGTCTGTGTTCTCTGTCCCAGAGGCCTTTTCTGCTAAGAGAAAGATAAAAGGCAAATGAATAAAAAGTGTTGATATATGAGTATGCCCTTACTCACATACCTGGTGGTATGTCCCTGGGAAAATCATGGTGGAGATGATAATAATAGCTAACAAGAGTATAATCATTCTGTTATTACAGTTCAGTTTCTAGCTCAGGGATGGGGAAACAACTTAAGAATCAAATTTCTTCTACTCCTTAGAACAAGCTTAGAAAAAGCTTAGCTATATCTGTGCTCTGTGCTTTCAAAAATGCAACAAAGAGGGGCAGCTAGGTGGTGCAGTGGATAGAGCACCAGCCCTGGAGTCAAGAGGACCTGAGTTCAAATTCAGTCTCAGACCAGACACTTGATACTTAACTCCAACTGCCTCGCAAAACAAACAAACAAAAAAACCCCACACAAACAAATAAAAAAAAACACAATGCTTTAAGCGTTCTTAGCAGTAATAGTCTAAAAGGTTATTTGATAAGGATATGTCTTCTTTGTATCTATGTTTCTCTGTGACTGAGTTCCCTTTTATTATGTGTATATCTCTCTTTTCCCCTCTATGTTCCTCACTTTGTCTACCTTTTTCTCTTCCTACACCTCTCCATTTCCCTTCTATATATCCCTCCTTCCTCTGTCTCTCTCTACTGGTTATATTTAAGACAGAAAATGTTTTAAAATAATTTGTTGTTTTAACTGAAAAGCTCCATGTTTTGCATGATATGCAAAACACTTTCTATTTCTCTCATTCTAAAAGAAAAAAATTTAAATAAAATGGCTGTATACTTGATGGATTTTTGACAGGGGCCCTCCATACAAAAAAAAACAAAAA